GAGTAGAACTCTGCCTTGTGATGCCCCTGAACAGTCGTTCTGCGCACATGCACTATCCCATGCTCACACATCACACTACATCAAGGCTTTACCGAGAGCGAATCACTTTACACGTGGGGGGAAGCAGTGTTCAAGAAAGGTCTGATAGTTAAGACACAACGCAAAGCAACATGCTCTTCCGTAGTCTTTGGCACTATCGCCTGCTGTAAAATATATGGTACAGTCAGCTACTAGAATACAAAAGTCCGTGCATACTTGCGATCCATCTCTTCGTACTCTTCTTTCAGCATCTTGCTCCTCAGTTTATTCAGCCTGAGTGTAACGCCTTCTTCCTCGCCTTCCAGCTTCTCCACTTCCTCATCTAGTGTTTTAGTCCCTTTGACTTTCCACATCAAACTTGACAAACCTCCATTCTTTGCCTTGTCGCGCTTCTCCCTAGCTTCGGCAGCAAGATAAGTCATGATCTTTCCCCATGACTCCAGGCCAACCTCCTCGCACTTTTCACATTTCTTGCGAAGATCGTCGTTAGTGCGTATAGCATTTAGAGATTGCGCAATCTTGGAGGTTGAGACTCCGTCACGGACCCAAGAAAGGCCCTGCTGGCGCTGGGTAGAAGACGACCCTGCAGTCGCGAAGAGTATCTCGCCAATGTAGTTCTTGAGTGCAGCTTCCTCACAACGGTCACTCTCTTTACGCAGAAGAGGTTCATCTCCCGAGGGCGGAACCGGGGGGTAATCTGGCTCACGGAGAAGACTGACTAATGTGCCCACTAAACTTGAATCCTTTTGTGGTGCAATAGTGGGTCTACGCGCCTCTTCTGCACCGATACGAGCCCGGAGTAGAGATACAAAGATTGGTAATGCGGATGCGATTCTTCTTTGCTCAGCGAAAAATATAGCCAGATTTGTAGCAGCGTAGACAACGTTAGGAGTGATTGAGTTCTTTGGTGCGGTGGAAGCTAGGACACCAGTCTCTCGATCAATGACTGCAGAGGGCTCTGAGGTTGGGAGGCCAGAGATAGCAATATCTAGTGCCCATCTGTACATCTCCTCAGCAGAGTCTGGAAGCTTTCGGAAGCTGAGCCAGTCGGCATATCCCAAGGCAGCAGATAACCTTTGATAGGTGGTAAATCCCTTGGATGTGATGATCTTGAGATAGAAAGACTCGGGTGCTTCAGCAGCAGGCACACGATGCTCTTCGTCCGGTACTTCTGGCATTCCAGGAAGCACAGCCTTCGGTCGCGGATTTGTAGCCGATGGGACGAACTCTGGTGCCCAGACATTCCTTCTCCATTTGTCTGTAACCCATCCATCCAGTCGCTCTGCGGCACTGGCCATGCCCATGAGCACTTCATAGTAGCCTTGCCGCCACTCGTCGCTCTTTGCCGATATATCAAAGCCTGCCTTGCCCACCCCCGGGACTAATATTCCTCCCTCTTCTTGTTCCACAAGGCCAGCTCCGTCCTTGTCTGGGTTCTCAAGCCGATTCAGCGCATATTCCAGCTCTGAGTAGACTCGGGCCCAATTCGGAAAGCCCTCTTCCTCGTTGTTTTCGGGAACCTGCCACCACTTTCCTCTCCTGAATCTGAACCTTGTGATCAGGCTCCATTCATGTGGCGACGGAAACGCCCGCTCTTGCTGTTCGCTCAGTATGCCCAAGCTTGCGATACTGAAGCATGACGTAAGGAGGAAGATGAGTATGCTGTATCGCACACTCAATTTCGCAGTCTCTTTGATGAACTTCTTGTGATTTGCGCTGATGGAGAATAGACGCTGGAGCTGGCCGTTGGAGAGGTGCTGGCCAGAGGGGTATAGGAACGGGAGTTGTGGCCGCGCAGAGCCCTGGTGGGCAACGAGGAATTGGCGGGGGTGCCTGTAAGAGAACTGGCGCGGACAAGGAGGATTGGGCGTGTGGTTTCTTGGGGGCTTCAAAGCGCCCCGTGGCAGCTTTGCCAGATGCGCCGGCGGCCGCATTGTCGTTTGCAATTGCTTTGCCTTTTCTTCAGATGTTCTTTGCGGCCATCCGTTGTTCACGCGCCAAGACGGCCCTCGCGCTCACCGCTCGGCAGAAAAAGTTCAAGGGCTCGGAATTTCGTTTCGCGACGCTACAACATTTCTCCAACATTTTTGCGCCGCCATCATGTCTAAGTCCAAGGTTGATAACGTCGAGAAGAAGCGCAAGCGCGATACTGAGGTAGCAGAGGATGCGCCTAAGAAGTCCAAGAAGTCCAAGAAGGTCGAAGATTCCTCGGATGCGCCTGCAGTCGAAGCTGTAGAGGTGAAGAAGGAAAAGAAGGAAAAGAAAGACAAAAAGGATAAGAAATCAAAGAAGGACAAGGACAATGTAGAAGCATCCGCCACTGAGGAGGCTGTAGAAGACGCAAAGAAGGAGAAGAAGGAGAAGAAATCCAAAAAGTCCAAAAAGTCCAAGGATGTCGACGACTCCGAAGATGCCCCCGCAGAGGAGGCTGCCCTCATCGATGAGATGAAGAAGTCCGAAAACTTTATCAGCGTCAACGACGACGAGCCAATGCCCGACGCCACTGATGCGCCAGCCAAGAAAGACAAGAAGAAGGAGAAGAAGGAAAAGAAAGACAAAGAGTCGAAAAAGTCAAAGAAGAGCAAGGATGATGCCAAGACTGAGGACACACCTATGGAAGACGCTGCTGAGGAGCAGAATGGCACAGCGGAGCCCGCCCCGGTAGAGGCCAATGGTGTAGACCTTGAGTCCAAGTCCGAGAAGAAGGAAAAGAAGGACAAGAAGAAGGACAAGAAGGAAAAGAAAGAGAAGAAAGAAAAGAAGGCAAAGAAGTCTGAGGATGTAGAGACCAATGGCGAAGCTTCTGCCGAAACCAACGGTGAAGCTGCCGCGGAAGACGTAGAAGTCACCGAGGAAGTAAACGCTGAGGAGGCAGAGGAAGCTGAGGCTGCAGTCGAAGCCAACCAAGGTCGCTTCATCGTCTTTGTTGGTGTGTATAGTAATGCACATACGCTGCTTACCAACCGCTAATCAACAACTCCCAGGCAACCTCCCCTACTCTGCAACCAAGGAGCAAATCGAGAAGCACTTCGAAAAGATCAAGCCCAGCGAGATTCGCCTACGTACATACAAGGGTAGCGACAAGTTCATGGGTACATGCTTTGTTGAATTTGACCGATTCGACCGCATGGTGACATGCTTAAAGAAGTACCACCATTCCGTCTTCCCTGACCCCAAGAAGAAGGAGGGCAGAAAGATCAACGTCGAATTAAGGTATACTAATATTGCGCCCTACATTCTTTATATTCGATCAGCGCAAAAGCTAACAAGATGAACAGTGCTGGAGGCGGCGGTAACAGCGAAGTCCGCAGATCCAAAATCGCAGCCAAGAACGAGAAGCTCCACGACGAGCGCGCCCGCGACCGGGTCAGGAAGACCGAGCTCGAAATGAAACAAAGCGAACGTAAGCAGAAGAAGGAGGCCAAGACTGGCAAGAAGGGTGAAGATGCTGGTGCTGAGGAGGCTGAGGCGACGGAGAAGCCATCGGAAGCTGAGACTTTTGGTATGAACCCGGCTCGTTTGGCTATGATGCAGGGCCCCCAGCGGCCGGTGCATCGGTCGAGATATTAGACTCTGGAGTCATGTTGGATAATTTCAGGAGCGATTATGTGAAGACATTAGTGGTTGACGATTTGAAAAGAAGGGGAATTTGTTTCTTGTTGCATAGCATTTGCTTGCATACCAACACTTTAGACAGATGGAGGGTAATGAATGAAAAGTTTGGGGTAGTCGAGTTAACCAATTGAGGTGCACTGTTATTGTGAAGCTACCAACCTGATTCTCAAGGTGCTCTGGTAATGCTTCTCATGCCTACAGCGACCTACTACATATGCATCAGGAACCAACGAACGTGCTGCAGGGATCCTAAGCATGTCCGCGCACGGACCAAAGGGTCCACCAACCGCGGTCCCATCGCAACTTTTTTGTGACGCCCTCCAGCAGACTCCCCGCGCCATTGCTCTGGAACCTCCGCACTTCTTTGGAAAACCAAATCATACAAACATCCCTCTTTTCACGACGTCAATCGTTCAATCCTCAGTTAAACCCGAACCCACTCATCCAACACCACAACCCACCTCGGGAGTCCGCAACTCACTCGAAAATGCACCACTAAGCCTACACCACCTTCTCCCCGCGCACCTTACAGCACCGCCGTACCAATGGAAACCCTAAAAAACCTCCCAATCATCCGAAGCATGATGCGCCCACCCGCCGCTCCAACACCACCGCCTCCCGCTCCTGCAGCGCCCTCTCCTCCTCCACCCCCACAACCTCCCACCGAACCCACATACCAACGCCCGCCCATAACCTCCCCGCGCTCCCTCCACCAACTCTCCATCTACCTCCTCGGCAGCACCTGCCTCCTGCTCTCCACAACCCTAACCCGGCGCGCCATCCACCGACGCCACATCCGCCTCACGCCCTCCTACTTCGCCCCAAACACCAACCCACACGAGTACTTCAGCCCCTTCGCCGACGCGTGCCAGGCCTTCAACCTCGCCACCATGAACTGTGCTAGTGTAGGCATAATGGCGCTGGGCGGCGTGATGTGGGTGAGTGACATATCGAATCTAGCGGAGGCGAGAAAGGTGCTTAGGGGACGGTTGGGGTATGAGCGCATTTATGAGAGTGAGGATGATGTGCCGAATTCGATTTCGCAGATGATCATGCAGGCGGGGGAGGTTAGGGTTAGGGAGGAAGAAGAGAGTGGGGAAGAGGGGAAGGGGAGGTAGTAAGGGAGAGGGGGTGTATGATATTTGTAGGATATTTTTTTTGTATGATAATGATTATGAGTTTGGGTTGTTTTAGGTTGGTGGTTAGATGGGGGTGTGGATGTGTTGTGAGCAGGATTCGGAGACGAACGATTATATCACGATGTTTACGATAATGCAAAGACGACGAACTTGGCGCTTTGCACATCTGGCAAGATGCATAACCCTAGTTTCTGGCACCTTTCATGTTCAATTTTCAGGCGCTCCATCGCCGCGCCCACCTCGACTTCCCTGCTCGCTACTTCCACGGCCCGGAGTAGCTGAGCTCGTGTTGGAGCTCGTGTCGGAGTTCGGTGGACACGTGAAATATCCCATTACAGGGCCAGGTGAGGGATTGACAGATGAAGGGTTGATAAATGGCAGTGGCAGCCGAGCGGCACTTGTACCGGAAGCACCTATTCCGCTTGGTGGACAAGTGAAGAATCCCAGCACAGGGCCGGTCGCAGGGTTGGTGAAAGACTGGGGCGGAGTATAGAATGGGTTTGGCAGACCACCTGGACCGAAGTTGTAACCGGAAATCCCATGCATGGTCGGTGCCAGGCTGATTAAAGTTGACCTTCCAATCGTCGTAGACGGGCATGGTGTTTGGAGTTTTGATCAAAATTCGCCGGTCCGGCGGTCTTTTCCATTCTTCTACTACTAGACCCTGAAAGATGTTGATCGAAACCGCAAAGCTACATCCATATGAGATATACTTAGCCGGCCAGCAACGCAACACCAAGTGACGTTTTGGTTCTTTTTGAACAATCTTAATCTTGGAAAGTTTGGAACCGGATTCCGATTTGCAGCAGATGCAATAGTTCAAGCCACAAGTGTTGCATTCAGCTATACATAACAAAGTGTCGGTTGTACCATCCATCCAGTTTTGAAACATGGTGCAGGTATCGAGCTCCGATGAAAAGCACGGCTCCCTACATAGGCGACACCGGATGTTCTGGATACGAAGGACGAATTTCGCAAAAATATCTTATAGTGACGAATCCAAATGCTGTCTCCGGTGCGTAGGTCGCTACTGCAGCATTGCTCATTTCCGTTTCCGAGACATACTGCTTTTGCGACTCGCTTGATGCGCTCACTGTCGATAGACTTCCGAGTGAATTATGTCTTGCCTGCTTCTGCACCTTGGGCTCTTGGTTGACGAATTCGTTGTCTCCGTACGTCTTGTTCAATCCATGTTCGGAACCACATGCCATTATGCTGTTGTTGTGCTGATCCATTCGTTATATGGCAGTCTATTATGACAACGAGAGTTGATGACAAACCGTGCCTATAGCAGTGTAGCTGAAAGGTAGTTGGCGAAAGAAAGCCGGCATAGCCTCTGAAGATGCGGTAGTGATCTTTATCCGTTGTTGATTTTGTAAGCACAGCTGATTAGGCAGGAACACTAGTGATAAAAGCCACGAAACGAAGCTTGGTATTTTATTGATGAGAGTCGAGACTGAGTTCAAATGAATGCACGGCGATGATGATGAGATAGGAGAGATAGACGAATTATATAGCGAACTTGTAGGCATTAGAGCGCTGCACTGCGTGTCCTTATTGTAACTATGTTTTGTTGTGCTGCTGTCTTATCGTAACCGTGTTTTGGTTGTCGTACCTAATTCTCGAAGGTTAGGAAGTGGCCTGCTATCCTTTTCTGAAATAATTGATCTGATACGCTATATAGCAAACAGCGACAAAAAAAGGTTCAAGCCATAGCAGTGTGGACTGGCGTATTGGGGGCTAAGAGTTGTAAGCCAGAAAGTCGGGGCTTTGGTAGAGCGAGAGTGTGGTAAAAAGAAAAGCGAGCCGAGACCAAAGTATGTTGCATACGCCCAATCCAGACTCACTTGCTGTTAGCGTCTCAGTTGGCAAGGGACAGGAGTGGCACCATATTAGCGGGCAGGGAAGTGGAGTAAGAGTAGTAGACAAGTGGCTCTTTGCTGCCAAAGCTAGAACAGGTGAATGAGAGGCTGTAGCTAGAGTGGGAAAGGGGCCCACAACCGCGGACAGGCGTAGTTGCACTTATCGAATGGTAGTGTCACACAAGCGGTACAACTAACACTCTGCAATCCAGGTTGACTATGTGACGTCAATGCCTAATAGCAAGTGTGGGAACTGCGAGTCACTATTAGTGACACTCCTCCAGCTATGGCTTGGGGCATGTAATGACAGAGTTGCTTGTGAATCGTGGCGATCTGGACACACATGTCAAACCTGCTTCACTCTAGCAGTGACTAGCCAAAGGTCATTCATTGCTTTGGTGCTGCTTGCAAATGGAACATAAATGATGAAGGCACAGATATATCAGAAAACTGGTATGAACTACATGGCGACTGTGCAGCCAAATTTTAAGAAAGACAACATACGTCCATAGTATCGTCAACTTTGGTGCCGCATGCCACCGACTCGCTCTTGAAGCAAACTGGGGATCCCTCTGACGTACTAGCTCACTGAGTGGTTACAGCATAACTAATCCAATACCACCCATATGGTCTTTGCTTGCCTGGTTTCTCGAGTTGATGCCGCCAGGAATCGGCGCAGCACGATAGTTGTAGAAGTAGTAGTGTAATGACCCGTCTCCAGCACCAAAGCGTTGCTCTTCCAGGAACAGTGGGTTATCGAGTAGAGTGAGGGCGTTGAAAACGTCGAAATCAGCCTAACTCTGTTAGCTGACCATCCAAGTTGTGTAACATCAGCATGCTTACCTTCTTTGCCAGAATGAGCGCATCCTTCATCAGCAAGTTCAGCCGTTTCTTCAACTTTACTTCGTCTTTCTCAAACGCAACCTCAGTAGCATAGTAAAAGAGGTACGCCGCCTTGATGGTGTTGTGCTTCTTATTGCCAATGACGGTACTCTCAAGGTTGTAGAAGGAGAAGTAGTCTGTAATCTTGTGAGTATCGGGGTCTTCGACGACGTAACTCCACACGACCTGCTCCTTTGGCTTCTCTTTTGGTGCCATCCAGTGTTCGAACTCAGTTTTATTGAACACCTGAGCCATATCCATGCGCTCAAGATATCGTTGCAGGAGACTGAGAGTTGCGTCAACATCTTTAGCCTCCATTTCGCGAAGTCCTGGTGTAAATGTGGTGTCGTCCAACTTGTACCGAACGATCTGGCGTTGTTTGGTGCTGCCGTGGGGCAGGGGAGAGAAACCAACATCATACAGCTTTTCCCAGTTAATGGCGCGGTGGAAATATCTGGCGGTTGAAACGGGAGTAGGTAGCAGGGATCCAACAGTGTATACAGCCTGGAATGTACCTTCAACATAGCAGCGGCGGGTGATTTCCTTGATGAGCACGGGCGCTAATCGCTTCGAACGGAGCTTCTTGTGGACGCATAGGAAGTTGACTTCGGAGCAGTTAAGAACCTTGTCGCGTACCCGCATCTGTATCGGGATGCCGGAGATGAATGCAACTAGCTTGCCCGAGGCGGTTGCGCGAACACCAACGTGCCATTCCTTCTTCCAACCAGGTGCCTTGAGAGCCCTATGACTGTTAGCTTGAAATTATTGTCTACTGTTGCAACAATCCTACCAGTTCAAGAACGACGGCGAGTATTTGAAGCGGAAAGTTGCATCCTTGTCCTCGACGTAGTGGTTGGTGAGCAACTCGTAGACTTCTTCTAACTGCTTCTCTTGTTCCAAATCCATAGTCACCCATTCAAAGCCGGGGTACATGGGGCTTGGGTTCTTGTCGACTTTTTCAATATCAATCTCTTTGATTGGCCCATCCTTGATGTTGTCCTTGTTTGCCATCTCGTCAAAGCTGGGAACGGGCTGTGTCTTCCAGAACGCGTGACTGGCCATGTCTTTTTGGCTACCTTGTGGTGCGAGCCCTGTGAGCATCTCGTTGAGGTTGAGCGCTTGGAGCAGCTTTTGCAGGTCATCCTTATTATTCGCCTTGCCCTGGAGTTCATTCGCAAGCGCAGGATTGTTTGCGAGCAGCATGTTCATAGCTTCCTTGGGCAGAATTCCTCCAGCGGGCGCGTTCAAATCCGTGACCTCGCCCGCCTTTCCCTTGCCGCTGAGCGCATCCTTTATCTTGTTCTTCTTGCTCTTTTTCTTCTTTCCGGCTGCACCCTCGGCCCCTTCCGCTGTTCCGGTCTCCTCGTCGCCACTTTCGTTTGCAGACTCGGCCTCTGCTTGTTTGCTCGATTCGGCGACTGCTTCGGCGGCTACTTTGGTGTCGGCGTCGGGGTCAGACACCTTGGAGGCTTCCTGAGGCATATTTGGAGAATTGAGGAGGTTGAGAGGATGCAGCAGTAGCAGGCGTGGCGTGGAGGGAATGTGGCTGTTGTCGTGTCAATTGGTAGCTCAGGAACAGGCAATTGGCGGTATTGCGTAGGTGGGGCATGGCGGGGTACGTAGGACAGCCCTGCCCTGATCGCCAACGCCATTTGTGGCACCTGCTTTGAACGCCTACCAAGTCGAATTACTCGAGCATACGAATATGCAGGCCGTCCTTATTGCAACCATAGTTCGCTGTACTGCTGTCTCATCGCAACCCTAGTTAGCTATTCTGCTGCCTTCGTCGCAACCGTAATTGATTTAGTTATCGTACCCGATAGAGGTGCGCCTAACAGGCATGTACCCGTGAGGAAGTGTACATATTTTTGGTAGTATTACCAAACGATCTTCTAGGGCTCAAGAGCAAAGTCTCGCTGACGTAAATGCTCGTCAAATACTTTTACTATGTACTTTGACTCCAAAGTCCATTTCTTGTCACCCGATTCCGGTAGGTTAGGGTGTAGCCTGCCATTATCTTCTGAGATATTTGACGTGATACGCTATAGTATAGTAAACCGAGGTAAGAGAAAAAGCCAAGCCAGTCATGCAGGCCATCTCATCTGCAGACCAGATCTATGTCAATACGCACGTGACCATTTTAGAAAATCTTTATGCTGCCTCCATACCGCACTGAACAGCCAGACAGCAGATATGTCGTTCGTCTTTCGCCCATCGCTTGAAATTGGGATATATAAAAGCAAAAAAGCTTCGATTTGAAATTCTTTTTCTATCTCTAATACACATGTGTCGATAGAACTCCACTGTCAATCTATGCCTCAATTAGAAAGAGCAAACTAGAACGAGGAAGAGTAGGCAAAAAATCAAGAAGAGCAAGTCGCAATCAGAAAGAACATGGGGACTTTGATCCTTGGATAAAATAGTTGCGTATGTTCACGTGTCTATGTTGGAACAAGACGTCTGAGTTTTGGCATCAGCCAACTATAATTTCCTAGCCATCTCCTTATTTCGCATTTTTCACACACCAAAAGCAAGCACTGTGCAGAGGCAACGTTATTGTTTGTACAACTTTTCCAATTGGAGTTTGTATTCAATGCAGTATGCTACTTAAAAATCCTTCCTATGCTACTAGATCAAGACTGCTTTTTGCAACTTCATCTTAGGGTATATCCAGTGGTACAAAAACATTAGATCCAGTCCAAGGGTCATGACAAACGTCCACAGGACGGGTATATGGGGGAAACGTTTTTTAAGGATAGTAGATGAAGAAGAAGGCCAGTTGTGTGCTGCCGTAGGCGCGCTGGCTCAGATGTTGTTACACGGGATTTGACAAAAATGAAAATAGGGGGTTGGTCGGTAGGGTGGATTGGAAACGCAAAAAAAAGGGTATCGCTTAGCAGATAACGCAAAATGTTGAGAATGAGCAGACATTGAGTCAAGATGCTCAAGAGGTGGTTGGGGAGGGAGGTTTCGCCTGTATCGTAGTTCCATTTCCAAACTTGATGGTGAAATCCACCATGTTCAGTTCGAAAGGGCCGACATCGACCGTTCCAGATTTGGCATTGCCGTTACGATTGTCGGTGAGTAGGGTCTGTATGGATTCCTGTGCGTTGGCAGCAACGTCTAGACTACGACTTTCCTGAAGCGCAAGTAGAACAGCGATACGGCCAAGGTCAAGCGCATCGACATTGCTAGAGATGGGCTGCGTGATCAAAGCATTTGTGCCACCCGAGTTCTGGTTGCCAGAAGCTCCGTTCTGCCTGCTCTGGCCGACTGTCTGACGCTTGACTTGCTGACCTGGGATTTGCGCAGGACGGGGATGATGAAGAGCTGATAGCGTGCGTGAAGGATGGAATGTCGTCCGCAAATCCATAGAGTGCAGGTGCCGGGGTACAGATCGAGAAGCCAGACCGTTGAATGTGATCAAGGCGTTCTCGGCCGCGCAGCTCAGAGAAAGCGTTGAGAAC